ATCTATCTATCTATCTATCTATCTATCTATCTATCTATCTATCTATCTATCTATCTATCTAATTTTTACAAATAATTCAGGTTAGCAAACACATCCATCACAACTTCCTCCTCCTATTTTCTCCACAATAACAAGCCTGTGACTAAGAGAAAATGACTGGCCTAAAGTCACCCAACATCCCTGACTAGTGCTACTCGCTGATTTTAGCAACAGCTTTCACATTGCTATAATCATCTGCAGACCAGTGGTACTTTTTCCTTAGAGTTGGATTGCTTTAAACCCCACTGCTTAACATTTATCCTGTGGTGATTAGTGGTTGTAAGTCTGTGCAGCCGGTACTCATTCCAGGGGAATAAAACATCCATAAATTCCTGCAGATAGGAAATAAAAGGAGGGAAATTGGCTGTCTTCTTTCTTTTGTGTTTTCAAGCAAACCCGTCATCTTACTCCAGGGCCAGTGCTGCTACTAATTAAGATGTTGGTGCATACAGTTTATGTTGAATTTCATAGTGGCTGACCCAAGCACATCAGGAGTACATGTTCTGCTCTTGGTACGCATTTGAGCCCTTCCTGAACAGCTTTGTCAATAGCTTTGAGAATCTACCAGTTGTTCCCTTTGGACCTTATGATTCAGTAGTCTCTGAGAAAAGTATGGTCTGCTTTTATGGATGTTCATTCCTGCCTCATGAACAATTGCAATCAGGCTTAGCAATGTCCCTGGGAAATATAAGATAGCAGAGATATTAATAAAAGCAAAGGACATGACTCAAAGGATGGACTTTCCCTTGTTTTGCTGGAAATCGTTTGTGGAGCAATACAATGTAATACATATTCATTACCGTGACCCATTATTAAATTCATAGGGAAGATGCATAGGATAGCCTGCATTTTTTTCCATTTTAAGACAAGTTACGGCAAAAGTTAAAATGCTTCTTTTTATCCTTGACTTGTTACAGCCAATTTTGTTCTTCCTTTGAAATGTCTGAATCTCTCAAGGTATACCATTGGTCATTAGTATTCCATCTGGCCTAATTGAATGGCATTGGGGTTTAAAGAAAGTTTCCTGGCCTTTTAGCCCTGGATCCAGCAATCTGGTTGAAATTGATAAACTTCATGATACACAGAACTGTGGATCAGAAAATTATTGTATCAAAATTAAAATAATGTTTTGCGGAGTTCTCTGGTTATTTGAAGCTTGGTTTTGTTGCTTTGCAGAAGGTGGAATTTTGCTCTGTTAAGACTTAACTTTTTTAAAAAGCACCAACTAATACTATAAGATGATCTTAGATGAAGGCCAACTGTATGGTTTCATCTTGCTTTCCTGTTGTTCAGAAATAACCTCCATTATGGAGGAGCCTAATCATCTCTATGCTCAGGTTAGTTTTCCTCCTCCCAGGTAATTTTACTTGCTGAAAGACTTTCCAATAAATATTCACACAGATACTTAGCACAGCCTACTCATCAGGATTAAGATATAATCTTACCTTCTAAAACATACTTTGGTATTCCTAGGGAAGCCAGGATTGTTTGAAGTAGCACCACCTGTTTACTCTTGTCATTTCTCACGCCATCCATGCTGCAATCTAACATCAACACCTTACCTCCTGATTTAAGTCCTGCCTCTCTGTAAATTGCAAATGTTAGTGCAATTCATAGAAAAGTTCTTCAGTTCTCGAAACCAACCAAATTCAGTTTCTGAGGCAACTAAGCTTGACTGAAGAAACTTCAGCCATAAGCCCTCTCAGTAAGATCAAGGATGAAATTCCTTGTCTCATTAGTTATTTAAGGTTCCACTCTCTCTTCTGATTTATTCAGAAAAGAAAATGCTGGATTTAGTTCTACTTTGCATAGTGGAAAGAAGCATGCATCCAGCTATAGGTTCCCATTTTCCCCCTTGGGAAAAAAGGAAGGGGGAGGGGGACTGAAAATATTGGAGGATACAATCTGAGGCGGTCACTGGGAGCAGAGGTTTAGTCTTCTGAGCTTTCAGACTCGTGCTGGAGCCCCTCCTCAGGGAACTTCTCTCCAGCAAAATGTGTGCTCTCTGTAAAGGTTCCCTGAGGATGGGCTCCAGCATGAGTACAAAAGCTCGGAAGATTAAACCTCTGGTTCCGGTGACCGACCCAGATTGGATCCTGCAACATTATCCCGTGACACATATATTTGCCTTCATTCATGAGAAAATATTGGCTTCTCTGGCAAACTGGGAGACATAATTGTACTCCCAGAGGATATCCACCTGTAGATTAGCCCTTCCCTCTCCGTTTTGTTGTCCAATCAAAGTCTCACCTGTTTACTCAGTAATACAGTACAATGATAACCTGCATAATTGATTTTGCTTAATCTGTAATCTCAGCTAAGGCAGCCTGTGACTGCAACCTTAAATCAATTTAAATGTTCCTCGGGAATACAGATATTACACAGATTTTCATTCTGTGTGTAGTTACTATTTATGCCTTGAATTTTCTTATATAGGAGGGTAACTGACTGGATGCAGAGCAGGAACTCTTGGCTAGGTTCATACATGGTGCTAAGTCATAATGAGCATTGGTTTTGTTAGAATGTGATGTGTGAATCTAGCCACGTTAGATCAGACACAGTTTATGGAAAAGCACCCAATGTGGACTCAGCCATCATTGTTTATTTAACAAATGATGGTTAAATAAACAATAGCATAGTCAGTAGATCATAGTCTTATGGCTTCAAAGTGGTCTTTGTTTCCACTGGATAAATTCCTCAGTATTCTGCTTATCTATGTCAATTTCTGTCATTCTAATAACAAGTTTTATCTTCCCTCTCTAAATTCTGCTGTACTCCCTTACTCCATCCGATGCAAAGTGCCAGATCAGTTACAAAGACTTGTGTCTTGCTGTATGGATGTATTTTAACCCAGAAGGGCAAAAAGTGAATTTATGTCTGACTTTTTCTCCATTCTGTGTGGCAGGAATCGCAACCGAATCCACAGCATTGAAGCCAGCCAGCTGGAGCCCTATGTATCCCTGGAAACGTTAGATCTCAGCTCAAATAACATCACAGAAATCCAAAGTGGCTGTTTCCCAGTGGGGCTTCCCATAAAGGACCTGTAAGCTTTCTTTCTTTCTTTTTAAAATGTTTTATGGAAAAGCGCTAATTTATACAAGAAGAACTGACTTTCAGATTATTTTGAGCTTTTAAAAAAGGATTACTGATTATAACACGGGTTAAAACTCAAAAAATGCCGTTCATCTACATCAGGAGTATCAAACTCGTGTCGTCACGGACTCGTCATGTGACATATCGGGACTATTTTCCCCTTTGTTAAACCAGACATGGCTAGTGCGTGAGGCATCCAGGCTGCGGGGCATGAGTTTGACACCCCTGATCTACATCATTTCCAGCATCCAGTTCTTTCATTGGTTGTCTAATGTTATGAAAGGAATGGAACAGAGATCGTTGGTTTTTGCTCTCTCATCCTTTTCTGCCTCTTCCTATTGAGCTGATATGAAAACTGAGTTTTTCTGTCCATCTTTTTCTCGTGGCCCCTTACAGTAGCTTACAGTAGCTAACATGAGAGGTGTGAGGAATGAGAGTACAAGGAACACTTAGTTTAATATTCTGTCATATATACCTACCACAAATAACTAATAGACAAAATTCTCCCGTCAGATTTTTAAATTAAAATATATTATTTTTTTCTAATTACCTTGAATTAGAATTAAAATGCTCATGCTGAAACATTTCATGCTGTATATGTCCGTTTTGATGAACACATTTTTTAAAATGAAGAGTCAGATTCTCTGATTTCTGATGCAACGATAGATCAGAATTGCTCTCCATTAACCAGTGGGGGATATACAAGGGAACCATTCCTGTACTTACTTTCTTTACATTCAAAATGGTTTGGGACAAAACATGTGCACAAAAAGTCACACCAATAAAAAAGAATAATTTTGCCCTTTTGAAGCAATATCATCTCGTCAATTATTTTTAACTGTACAGAAGTTGAATGTAATAAATGAAAATGAAGAACAAGTAAGAGATGGAGATAAGCTTATAGATGAGAATTTTAGGTTCTAAACCAGCGGCCCCCAACCTTTTAGGCACCAGGGAGCATTCCGCAAAGAGATGTTTTTTTCACGGACCAGAGGGGGCGTGGTTTCATGTGCTGCCTGCATCCTGTGGATGGGGCTTCGCTTTTTGGCGCGACCCAATTTCTGGCATGTTGTAGCCCTGTGCCAATCCATGGTCTGGGGTTGTGGGCCCCTGTTCTTAACTACACCCCCTAAAATTGGGTGTAGCTGATATGCTGATAGGTTTATCTGCAAGTATATATAACAATATTTTTTAAGGGACTCATATATACTTCTGGATAAACCCATCGATGGATAAGACAACTTTCAAACACCATAAAAACATGTCACTCACAGATAAGCCAGTTATAAAAATCAAAACATTTGAATATTTTGAGAGTTTGGTGACATAGATGATTAGTAGATCACTGGATGAATTGCAATTAACAATTAAAATTGCAATTAACAATTTTAAGAATGTTGTTTTTATAACGCTCATGGCTGGCAGTATGCCCTTGGTTTTTTCAGTTGAACTATTATTTTACATCATTGGTGCCCATCACTTTTCATCCATTACTCTGCGTTCAGATCTGTTCGATAGATTTTGGGATTCTAGTTAGATAGACACAGAATTTATTATCTCGCCAGGCTTGTTCTTTTACATTCCTGTGAATGAAGAAGCCGCCATTCCCATTTTAAGGATGTCTAGTGTAACTGAAACTAATTTCAGATTAATTTCTTTAATCTAGATGGAATACAGTTGTCCTACTTTCAGTATGCTTTATTATACTTAGTTGTTGTTCAGTCGCTAAGTTGTATCCGACCGTTAGTGACCCTACACACAGCACAGCAAGCCCCTGCGTCTCCACTGTCTCCTGAAATTTGCGAAACGTCATTTTCATTGCATCAAAGACACCATCTAACCATTTCATCCTCTGCTGTCCCCTGTCTCTTCAATCTTTCCTAGCATCAGGGTCTTTTCCAGTTATTATTATACTTAACTGGTGTATAATGTATATTTGTTCTGCTTTGGGTTTGGCTTTGATTCTTTCATGGACATTCTTTCTCATCTGGATTACTACTCCAGGATTCAAAGCACAAAAACAATAGAAAATTCTGGAAGCTTTAGTTCAACAAAGGGCATTGAGGTAAGGGAAGGAAGCTCTGGCAGACTGGAGGTGCTTCAGTATCATAGGAATCTTTTAATCATCACCTACTTATAAATTGTGCAAAATGGCTTGATTTTTTGTGAGAGTGGGGAGACATTTGGTTTCTGAAAACAGCATGTCTGATGATACCACCTGCTCAGATAAAGAGGGACTAATCAAGACTTCCAACACAACCATTTCAAATGTTCTTTTATAAATTATTACAGCTACCTGGGGAGCAACAGAATCAGTGTCCTGGACACCAAGGCTTTTAACAGCTTGTCACGATCCCTGCTGACGCTTCGCCTGAATAAAAACAGAATTGTCCAACTTCCCGTCAAAGCATTCAAACTGCCCCATCTAACACAACTGTGAGTAGAAATGTGCTGTTTAATTATAACTCGCCAAGCTCCCTAAGGACACATTGCCATACACAATCCTTCAGCTTGAATGTATGAAATGTTGATTAAAGCATAGTCTAGTGGTCTTTGGTGACATGAATGAAATAAAAATTAGATGTAGCTCCACCCCGGATTGACTTCATTCTTAATAGGACCAAAAGAAAGGAAGAAGATATCTTGAGTATTCGTTAACCAGAAAATATGTGATAAACGTTCTTCATGTCAGTCGGTGTGCATATGTTTGTGTGTGCATATTTTTTAAAAAGAGTCTGGCTTTCTGTTTCTGGGTTTAACTTTGATTTTGTGGGCATGCAATGAAAGAAAAACAGGATTGAGAAGGTTTTCTTAAACTTTTCACATACGGTGTTCAAACTACAAGGAGGGAAGAATGCAGAGTTGGCATTTAGGTAGACAAAGGGTGCTTTTGATGGTTAGCACACATGTTGTTGTTTGTTTGGCCAAGGTACAGCTTAGGCTGCATTTGATCTGCATCTGTGACAGTGCTTTGTGTACATATGATTGACCTTTGGCATCAACATTTGCTTCTTGAAGTTTGGAACCGAACTCAAAGGCTAGATTCAGCATAGTTAGTGTAAGATTTTACATGATAATACAGGTAGTCCTCGGATTACAATGGCAATTGGAATCAAGATTGCCATTGCTAAGTGATGCAGTTATAAAGTGCAGTATCATGTGACTGCATCGCTTAGCGATAGCAATGCAGGCAGTCCTGGTTGTCATCATAACCAAAGACATATGGGTTGTTAAGTGGAAAGCTGGGGAAGTCCCAGGCAAGGAATGTAGGGTTGCACGGAGGGGTAGGTCTTGGGAAGCCCAGTGCATGTTGCTCACATGCTGGAGTGTGTGGCACGAATTCAGTGATGCCAGAGAAAGAGGTCGCTGGTGGGTGCAAATCCAGGGAGGCTCTGAAAAGGAGACCACTGGTGTTGTATGTATGTGTGAGTATAAGTGCAAGGAGGTACAGAGGAGGAAGGTGCCAGTGGATGTGTGCAAACATAGGGAAGCCAGGAAAGGAGGGAACTGATAGGCATGTGGAATCTGAGGGGGAAGGAGGGTGCAATGCATGTGAGTGAGTGAAGAAAAGTTGGGAAGGGGTGAAACTGACCCGAGCAACTTGTGACCTTCCCTACCAGCTTCCCCATTGATCTTACCTGTGAGAAGCTGGCAGAGAAAGGTTGGCAACAACAATCAAATGACCATAAGATGCTGGAACCAGTTATAAGTGTGAGCTGAATTTTGTTCATGTGACTGCAGGAGCGCTGCAGCTTTGAACAGTCACAGAACAAATGGTCATAATTCAAGGTCTATAAAAAATAGGGGATTTTTTTTAAAAAGTAAAATAAGCAAGGAAGTATATTCCTCTTCCATTTTAAAATCAAATTAATACCGTTTTGGTCTGTTTGGTTTTGTGATTGATTTAGCTTTCTTTTATTCTCTTGGATAACTTTTTCTGTTCAGATGGCTCACATATTCATTTTTCCTGTTGTCAAAAACTCAAATTTATGTTATTGCTTATTTTGAAATACATGGAAGAGGTGGAAATCCTGTGGTTTTCCAGACGTTTTTAGATTATAGTACCAATAATCTGGACTTCTCAGCTAAGGTTTGGGGAGATAGAAATCTACCCTTGTGTGCCAAATATCTATGAACTACACAGAACATTAATTGTCCCAGGTAAACCATTTTTATTCTAACCAGCTTGAAGTAAATTAGAGTTTCTTCTATAAATAGCAAGATTTGAACCATTTTTTTAAGAAATAAATGTTAACAGCATATGATTATGTTTATATTGGGAAGAAATACATACATTGCCTTCTGTTTGAAGTAAAAATCTTATGGCTGAAAACTTCAGTTTTTTCCAAGGTCACTAAAAGAATCCCATTGAATTCTAAAACATGTAACATGTTTTAAACATGTTTTAGAAACAAACAAAATACTGTAGAAATATGTATGTATGTATGTATGTAGAATATGAATATATATATATATATATTGACAGAAAATGAGTCTAATGTAAGGAGTGCCATTCTATCCCTCATTTACCTATGCCTGGCTGTTCGCTTTTGAAGATGAGTATATAAGAAAGTCTTGAGTTAACATCCTTCTGTGTTGTTGGTCATTTTCAGAGAGTTAAACCGGAATCGTATTCGTTTGATAGAAGGCTTGACATTTTATGGACTGGACAGTTTAGAAGTTTTGAAGCTGCAGCGCAACAATATAAGCAAGTTGACGGATGGAGCTTTCTGGGGTCTGGCCAAAATGGAGGTTCTGTAAGTCAATAGTTATACTAATGGATTTAAGGAATATTGTATTTCTTTTGACATTTTCTTTGGATGCCAAGGAAGTCATCCTCCCATTTCATAGCATGACTGCAGATATGTGATTTTTGGTGCCTGAAACTTCTTCTTTTGGGTAGTCCTTATGAATGATGTGGTATCATTTCTGGAAGGGCATATATAGACTTTTGCTGTTGTGTAAAGGTGTACAATTTATGGCCCAAAGCCATACTTGCACTTTCCCCAAAGTATGGTTGCAATTCTCAAGTCTTTCCAAGAGCTGCTTCTTAATAGTGGTTCGTAATTGTAAAAAAAGAGGAAATGATTAAAAACACAGACAATAATTGTGTTAACTACATTCAATTAGTTTTAATTTATTTAAATCAAATTATGTTGTCTCCTGCTCCTGAATACCTTTTCCAGTACAGACTTTGAGTGTAAAAAATTATATACCCCTTGTTTAGGTGTTTGATTCAGTAACAGGGCATATGATGGAGGCAGTACCAAGTGGAACTCAGAGTGAGGGAGGCAGTGAGTGAAGAACAGGCCTGTCAAACTGGCAGCCTGTGGGCCAGATGTGTCATATACAGACCACGCCCACCAACTCTGCAAAGGCAAAAAAGTCACGATACGTCATCACATGCCGCGATCAAGTTTGACACCTATGGTGAAGAAGGAAGGGAGAAAGGGAGGGAGGGAGGAAGTCTTTAAGTTGGAAAACTGCAAAAAAAATCTTAGAAGATGCATCAGCAAAGCACTTCTGTCTCACTGTCAAAATAACCATATGAGCATTATGAAATGTCAGTCTTGACTTGGAGGTGCATTCACTTTAATCAGTAACAGAATATTGGAATATTGGAACACCATGCAAGGAATTTCATGTCAGCTATAATCCCAGAAATCAAATAAGCATGCTGTTTGGATTGTGGGTTTTTTTCTCTTAAGTATGATAAAGAAATTGCAGGTTGGAGGAATTTGCCTGAGAAAAATTGTATGAAAAATCAATGTCGGGTGCAAATGTATGTGCAGTTTAAAATGACCAGCTTGTTCTTTCGTGTAGACACCTGGAGCACAATGTTCTCACAGAAGTGAACGGTGGTTCCCTGTTTGGCCTGCTGTCCCTTCAACAATTTCATTTGAGTAACAACCTGATATCCAGTATCAGTCCTGCTGGATGGAACTTCTGCCAAAAGCTGAATGAACTGTAAGTTAGCTAATTTGGGAGGCCACGGTTGAAAATAAAAATAGAAACTCTTGCATTGCAATAGTTGTAGGCCATGCTTTAAGAAAGAAAGATTTTTAGAAGATTCACATTTTGTAGAATGCAATTATTACCCCCTCTTTTAAAATGCTACTTTTTAATTTAGAAAATTTGGGACTAGGAAATATTAAAACACTGTTTCTTCCACAGTAATTATCAGTGCTAAAGTTGTATTTTTTTCTCCCAATACCACTTCTGTCAAAGAAGTTTGTTTCAGCTAGATAAATTATTTTCAGCAGTTGGCACCCATATATTTATTTCCATCACCAGCAAGCCTTCCTTATCTGTCCCTAACTTCTCTTTAAAAGCCTTTTTATTAACCTAGATAAATATGAAACAATTATTTATTGGATGCTTTTAAACCTTTTCTCCAGCATCTAACTGTGTTTGGTCAGTTTGTATATTTTTATTACCATTATTTTAATTCCAACCCTTTTTAAAACACTGGATAAAAGATTAATTGAATGTGTGCATGCATATACCCTTTTTATACATTTCTACATGCATATATGTTTTTTTTAAATGTTGGTGATGCTATGGAGAACATCAATTGATGTCCCTAGAGGTTTTTAAGATTTTTCTTTAACCCAAGGGTTTGACACTGTGTTTGCTTCTCTTGTTAATGTCTGTTTTAGTTTTATCCAAATAGCCAGATAAAGAATGTTAAGAAAGCTATTGAAAATGTCTTTTAAGGATACACATTCAGTCATTCAAGGGAAACAGGTGTTATGGATTTATCCAGAATACAAGGGGCTTCACAAATCCCTTAAGGGAGAGGTTTTTCCTTCCCATTCTGGAATTAAAATGTTTTTTGATAAATCTATATATTTCCCTACTCAGGCTGCAGAGGGGTACAAAATGTGAGCGAATATATGCTTCTTTCTGGTTGATTGCAGAGGGATATTACAAAGCTTTATTTTGAAATTTGCTCTTGGCTAATTCTAGTTGATGTCAAAAAAAGAAATGTGCCTCTACAGTTCTGACAAAAAAAAATCCCTGCTGCCAACTATGAAGTTTTTTAACAGTTGTGTTTAGCGCTATCTGCTAGCATTGGATTTCCGTTCCCCCTTTGAAAAATTCTTTCGGCTGCATCAAGTGGGAGGACAGGAGATCGGAGGTGAAGAAGTCTGGTGCAGGCTTCGAACACCTTTTCTGGCGTCAGGAGCGATCCCCCAGGGATACATGAACCCCGGAGAGGTTCGTGTCAACGTGGAGATCCTCGAGCTGCAGAGGGGGGAAGGCAACTCCCCAACAGTGAAGAGGGAAGCTCCCGAGCTCGGCGCTAAAGAGTAAGCTGTCATTTTATGGCGGCTTCCAATCCGGTCTGCCACTTGAGTGAATAAGCAAAGCAGTGACAGCCTGCGAGATCCAGTAAGAGGAACAGAGAAACGGTTTATATCTTGGATTCTTTGAAGTCTGAAGGGAGTAGAATGACAGAAGAATGATAGCATAAATTCTTCTCTCCTGGTTGTGATAAGCACCTCTTGGAAGTCGGGCGGAGAGCGGCCAGAAAAGCAATTGGGGAAGCTTTGGGGAAAAAGAGAGATTGCTAAAACCTGGAGATTGGAGATCCGGAACTGGTCTGAGCACAACATGACTATTACTATTACATCTACTTAATATTGGGGAGAAGATAAATTGAGCATTATATTGGACTTTGGAAGATTTGTATGTGGATTTAAAAGTTGGAAAGCAAAGAAAGAAGCAGCAGCAAGAGGAAGAAGCCAGAGGCGAACAGAACGCTGGTAAAGACGGTTTTGGGACTGCAGATTAGTCAGCACTTTTCACCATTTGCTGATTGGAAGGCTGAAAAGAAACCTCTAGCTGGAAGATGGAACTTTAGCTCACCCAATTTGCTCTCTTTATTACGTGGTACTACTTAAGTTTACTAAGTTGGCACTATTTTCTCTTTAAGATGATTTCCTTGTGGTTGTTTGTTTGTTGATTTTCTGAAGCTGTGGTAATCTCTCTTCTACCCCTTCTCTTATTATCTTGCCCCTTGCCTCCCTATTGTATCTCCTAAACACGTTACATAATTTTACTTACTGGGGGGGGGGGAAGAGGAGGATACACTATTATCAAAGAGTTAAGAGTTTACTGTTGTAAGTATTAATAGTAAAAAGGGATAAACTTTGTTGATATAATCTATTTATAAATTATTTAGACTACTTACGACATTTAAGATTAATTCCTTAAAGTGTTAATTGATGTACTATTGTTGACCAATTTTCTTATTACATTGACTAGAATATTGTTGCAGATCTCTATTTATGATATAGGGGAAAAGACTGTGGAGTGAGATATAAAATTGAAATACGTGAATAGTCTTTCAAGTACAGAACCCAAATACTGAATGGTGATTTGGGATAATATATTTAATATTGTGCATCAACAAAAACAAATACTTAGAGAGATGACATCCACAACAACTATGGCCTTAAAAACAGGAAAGAAGGCTATCCCGACCCTATCGACTACGTTGACAGCCACCCCACCAACATCTCAAAAAACTATCGAGGAGTCTTTAATAGGGGAAAAGCAGCCCAATGTCCCCAATATTAATATACAAACTTCCATATTAGCCTTGCAGGAAGCTATATCTAAAATGCAAGAAATGATGATTAATAATCACAAGGAAACTAGAGCAGATATAAGTGAATTGAAAGATGAGATGGGGAAAATGAAGGCTGAAATGAAAGCGGATATAGCGAAGGTGGAGGGTAAGATAGGGTCTCTACAGCAGGCCATGGAGAGAAACGAAGTGAAAATAAAAGATATAGAGAGTAGAACAACACGCATGGAGTCTAACTTTGAAAGGATGGATGAGGAATTTAAAAATGTACTTAGAGAAACGGAAGACTCTCTGATCCACCTCGAGATGGACAAAGCAATGGCGTATTTAAGATTCCAGAATGTGGCGGAAGCCAAAAATGAAGAATTGGAACATTTGATGGCAGAAATATTGGCTGAATGGCTAGGAAAGGAAAAAGATGATCTAATTAAAGAGTTTGATGAGGTATATAGGGTTAGCACAAGCTACGCCAGGCGTAACAACTGTCCAAGAGAAATTCATATCCGCTTCTCTAGGAGATGTCTGAGGGATTTAATTTTGAAAATGTCTAGGGAGGAAACAATATCATATAAGGGCAGAGAAATTAGGATTTTAAAACAAATTCCAAAGAGAGTGAGGATGATAAGACAAGATTATAAATTTTTAGCTAATGATTTAAATAAAGAAGGAATCCATTTTAAATGGTTAATCCCGGAAGGGATGTTAATTACATGGAAAGAGAGGAAAATCAAAATAGAATCGATAGAACAGGCCCAAGTTTTTCATCAACAGCTCACAGATAAGAATAGTCAACCAACCAAAGAAGAACCTAAAACAAGACCACAGGAGGTCCGATATTATCACAGAACCCAAAAGGAACGACTTTCTTCAATTTCAAGAAGTGATAATCCACAACATGGGAGAGAAGAGCAAATCCCACAACAACAACAACAAGAGAACCGAATCATTACTAGGCAAAAATCTAAGCAGAAGTAGATAAATGGTGGAGGGGAAGAAGTTGCTCTCCATCAATATAAACGGATTAAATTCATTATTAAAAAGAAAAAGGATATTCTCAAAACTTATTCAACATAACGCAGATATAATATGTCTTCAAGAGACACATATTTCGAAGAATGACGAAAGATATCTAATTTGTCCAAAATTAGGTAAACTTTTTACAGCACCGGCCGACCAACACAAGAAAAAGGGAATTGCAATTTATGTAAAACAAGATGTAAAGGCAGAACTAATCTGGTCGGATCCCGAAGGAAGAACTCTGGTTATACAAGTTTGGATAAACCACATCACATTTTTACTTGTAGCAATCTATGCCCCAAATGATGACCAGGGGAAATTTTTTAAACACCTTCACCAAAAAATAGTAGGCTTTGAAAAAAGAAACATTTGCTTGATTGGCGATTTTAACTCCATTGCAGACTACCAGAAAGACCATAGTAATATGGGGAAAAACAAGAAGGGGAAAAGGGAACTCTCTGCAGCATGTAAGGAAATGTTGAGAGAGTTAAATTTAAAAGATCTATGGAGGGAACGGAATCTTGAAGGAAAACAATTTACATATTATTCTAACCCACATAAGACTTGGACCAGAATAGATATGGCTTGGATGGATTTGGACTTGGCTAATGAAATAAAAGAAATCAAAATTCTACCGAATGAATGGGCTGATCATAACCCAATACAGCTAATTTGGAGGGATAGGAGACGAATAAAAAAAAGATGGACACTAAATAACCAAATTGTAAACGAAGAAGAGTATATTAATAAACTGAAAGAGGAGCTAAATTATTTTCTAAAAGATAATAATAATGAAACAACTTCAAAACAGAACATTTGGGATACTATGAAAGCAATTATAAGAGGCACAACAATTTCCTATAATGCTATGAGAAACAAGAGAATTTATGCCCAACAAAACGCGTTACAACAACAAATCCAAGACTTAGAAACACAATTACAAAAAACCCCTAAGACCCAAGGACTACAAAATCAGTTAATACTAGCCAAACATAAGCTGAATTTAATTGAACAAGATAAATTAGAAGTTAGCTTGAGAAGGTCCAAACAAAATTATTTTGAACACGCCAATAAACCAGGAAGATGGCTATCTTATAAACTTAAAAAAGAAAAAGAAAAGAGATTGATACACCAATTAATAGATGAGAAAGGCATCCCACAACATGAGATTGAGAAGAAAAAGGATGTTATATTAAACTATTTCCAAAGATTATATAAAAAAGAAGAAATCAATGAGGATAAAATAAGAACTTATCTGGAGAATACGAATGATAAAACAATAGGGGAAGGAGACAAAGAATTACTAAATAAGGATATTACATGGTCTGAGTTAAAATCTGCAATGGAAAATCAATGTAATAATAAATCCCCTGGTCCAGATGGGATTCCAGTAGAATTATATAAAGCCACATTAGATTTAGTAGGGCCTCTGATGCTGGAAGTGTTTAATGAAGTACTTTCGGCTGCCAAAATGCCAGACTCATGGAGGGAGGCGTTGATTGCGTTAATTCCGAAGGAGGATGTGGATGCCAGATATATCAACAATTATAGACCAATCTCACTTTTAAATGCCGATTATAAATTATTTACCTCAATTATTGCGAATAGAGTAAAACAAGTTTTAAATTTATACATTCATGAAGACCAAAATGGTTTCCTTCCATTCCGCCAAATTAAAAACAATTTAAGAACCGTTATTGACGTCTTAGAATATTATGAAGCTCATCCAGAGAAACAATTTACACTCTTGTTTCTAGATGCGGAGAAAGCATTCGATAACTTACATTGGCACTTCTTAATACAAAAAATCTATAACATGAATCTGGGCACTAAATTCGAGAATATTATCACAACAATTTACAATACCCAACAAGCCAATATACTAATTAATGGTGAACAAACAGGCCCACTAAGCATTGAAAAGGGCGTTAGACAGGGTTGCCCTCTCTCACCCCTCTTATTTATATTTGCTTTAGAATCATTGTTAACGCGGATAAGACAAAATCCTGAAATTCAAGGGGTTAGGGTCAAGGCAGAGGAATATAAATTACAGGCGTTTGCAGACGATATGGTTTTCTTCCTAGAGGATCCCATGGAGAAGGGACATAATCTAATAAAAGAACTAGAACAATATGGTTCAGTAGCAGGACTAAAGATCAACAGAAATAAGACGAAATTACTGACTAAAAATCTAACAGAGAACCAGAGGAAAGAATTAGAAAAAACCATGGGGATACAGGCAACAAAAAAGGTCAAATATTTAGGCATATGGTTAACACCACATAGTAAATCACTCAAAGAGAATAATTATGATAAACTGTTACAGCAAATTAAGAAAGATCTAGAATCTTGGAATAAGTTGCAGCTTTCTTTACTGGGCAGGATTGCCACAATCAAAATGAACATTTTACCAAAACTCCTTTACTTATTCCAGACAATCCCAATAAAATTATCAAAAAAATTTTTTGATGATATAAATAAGGTAACTCTTAAATTTATTTGGCAAGGGAAAAAAGCTAGAATCAGTATTAAGGCCTTACAAGATGCAAAAAGTAGAGGTGGGCTAGCGCTTCCAAACTGGGAATTATATTATTGGGCAGCCAACTTACTATGGTTAAAAGACTGGGTCAATTACGGAATAAAAGAACTCTAGCCTTGGAAGGGCACGACCTTCAGAGAGGATGGCACGCATTTCTATGGGATGTGGGGAAAACTAAACAGGCGTACTTTCATAGACATCTTATTAGAGATTCACTATTAATTAATTGGAAAAAAATATGTAAAAAACATTATTTAAAAATTCCGATTTGGCTTTCAACAATGGAGGCAATGGTTCATCCCAACAATTTGGATATAACAAAAATGACTAAATATAAAGATTTATTAGATCCTTTAGGGAAACTAAGAACTCGACAGGACTTACAGGAACAGGGATTTAAAATTGATCAGTGGTTATATATACAAATCCATAGTAGATACAAACAAGATATCAAAGAGTTTGGAATTTATAGCAAATTACAACACTTAGATAAAATCTTATTAGGATCAAATAAAAAGAATATTTCTAAATTTTATAAATATTTATTGGAGGTAGAATTAGAGCAAGAGATAGTGAAAGGGAACATGATAATGTGGAGTAGGAATATTGGAAGAAGCATTACATTAACAGAATGGGAAAAGATCTGGAATAGAATCATTAAGATTACGAAATCTGCGGCGTACAAAGAAAATATGTATAAAATGTTATATAGATGGCACTTACCCCCTTCGAGGTTAGCGAAAATGAACCCAAACTCTAGTCCAAAATGTTGGAAATGTAAAAACATAGAGGGAACCTACTTTCATATGTGGTGGACCTGTAAAGAAGCCCAGAAATACTGGCAAAAAATTAGAAAATGGCTGGAGGAGATAACCAAAGATCAAATTGAATACAAACCAGAGTTCTTCCTACTAGGGATCTCTGATAAACATTTTCCTAAAAAGACGAAATACATAATAATTCATATTCTAACTGCGGCCAGATTAGCATTTGCCCAGTGCTGGAAATCATCCCGTTTACCTACAGATCAATTGGTCATTCAGAAAATATGTGACTGCGCAGAAATGGACAATTTAACCATAGCTCTTAAAAATAAAGAGTCTTCAGCATTTGATAATAATTGGAATGCATGGTATAATTGGTTATATCAGAGATAAACTGTTTAATGAGCATAAATAAGCATAAATATCCATAAATAGCGATAAGATGTGTATATTTAAAGTAAGGTAGGAGAATTGGATCTTGTAGACTGTCAAAAAGAATATTAGTCTGGTTTTAACGTATTTTCTTTTTTCTTCCGTCTCTTTGTTTTTTTTGTTTTTTGTTTTTCTCTCTTTTATACTTCTTCTTCTCCTTTTTCGGTCGCAAGACCGAGCGTTTTTTTTTTTTTTTTTTCCTCTCTCTTTCTCTTCTTTCTTTCTTCTTTTTCTCTCTCTGTTTCTTATGTAATGTTGTTATGTTATTTTTTTAATTGTAAATTCAATAAAATTTATATGAAAGAAAAATTCTTTCATCACAGGTGAGGAAATAATGTTGACTGGTTGCCATCTCCTCATAATTCAACACCACAGTCTTCTTGGGAATTAATTTATGTTGTCCCTTGCCTTTCTGAAGGCTTTTCCAAAGGCCTTCCATTGCTCCTAGTTATATCATTGCTATCTCAGTGCACGTTTGCAAAAAAAACATGCCATTTGTTTGCCAATAAATACCATTTTTTAGTTAGGAATGTTTCTTTCCTGACTCTCCTGGTTTTGGCAGAGGTCATTAACTTTTACATCCCACACTTCATCATAAGCAGTCCTCAACTTAACAATAGTTCATGTTGTGACTGTTTGAAGTTACAACGGCATTGGAAAGGCTGATTTATGACCGTTTTTCACACAACCGTTGCAGCATCCCCATGGTCACGCAATCAAAATTCAGACACTTGGTAACTATCTTATATTTATGATGTTTGCAGTGTTGTGAGGTCATGTGATCCCTTTTTTGCAACCTTCTGACAAGCAAAGTCAATGGGGAAGCCAGATTCAATTGGTAATCATGTTACTAACTTAACAACTGCAGTGGTTCACTTAACAATTGTGCCAAGAAAGGGGCAAAATTCACTTAACAACTGTCTTGCTCAGCCACAGAAATTTTGGGTTCAATTATGACCGTATGTTGAGGGCTACCTGTATTATTAAAGCACTTTTGCCTCATTCTCCCATATTTCTTTTGTAGATTTGTCTCAAATCTACAAAAGCAAACACCAGGATACATATAAAACTTTGCTATTTTAGGTTGCTTTATTTGAAGAGAAGCTGCTCACAGACTAAAATGCAACTCCGCCTTCTGCTGAAGCCATAGGTACATAATCCATGAACCACACCGAGCTTCCTACTTTTGAATTAACAACCCTCAGACCATACCTGGATTACATGGGGTCCGAATTTTTATTCTACCTTTTATTTGCTGCGGATGGAGGAAGTTGGAGAACTTTTAAAAGAAAGGGGCAAGGGGAATGGAAAACAGTCATTACGTAAAAATCAGTCTTTATGTAATCAGGGATAGGGAGTTTTGAGCCTCTGTAAGATGCAAGGCAATCTTAGTAATTCCCTCAAAACGTTCCTATTCTGATACATGAATGAAGAAAATTAGGAAAAGGAGACACATAGTTCAGTACATAACATGTTCAGTTAGTAGGAAACTATAGTTTCCTGATGATTTGGAGTTGACCATTTATTGCAACTGAGATCAGATGGCAGAATGCTAGCCCTGCTTTGCAATTCTTCCAGTTCTATGTACTTTCTGAGTATCATGATATCATTATATTGGTTGCTCTGAAGCTGGGGTTTGGGGCATACGTTTATTTAAAAGTTATAGCTTACAAAAATGGGTAGCTTAGAACAATTAACCCAATAAATCAAGCCAATCCTAAAACAGCAAACACTGCCTCACTGCAGGCTTAGCTACCTTCCTTTCATTCTATCTGCCTTTATAAACTATCCCAGCATCTCAGTAAAAAGCCAAGTCTTAAAAATCTTCTGAATTGTTGGAAGGATATATGGAATCCTGTCTTATGCCTGTTTCCTTGGTTCAAAGAAAAATGGACAATTCTTTCCATGTTTTAGCAGGATTGCAGTAGTATAGCCAAGATCCTGAAGTTAGCTTGAAGATAACTCACTCTGAAAGCAAACACGCTTTGACTTTCCCAATGACTTGATGAAATAATTGGGCTTAACTCTGTGAATAAGTTCTGAGAACCTGAAGGAGCTGTTGGGCTAAATCCATATGTACCGGTAAAAGTTAAATGAATTATCTTCTGGCTTTATTTTGCCTGTATAGTAAATACTTTATCTAACTTGGATGTTCTTGACCTTCTTTCCATAGGAAAGACATTTAGGATATTCTAGAACTACATTATTCCCAGGACAAAGGAACTATCTAGTAGAGTTATTGTCAAGAAGGGAAAATAAATGCTTCATACTTAAATTTTGCTCTTTTTTCCCCTCAGGTCCTTGTCATTTAACAACTTAACCAGATTGGATAAAGGAAGTTTAGCAGATCTGGGAAGCCTGGAGATTCTTCACCTGAGTCACAATTCCATCAGTCACATTGCAGAAGGAGTATTCAAGGGACTCAAAAGCTTACATGTTCTGTACGAGCTTTACATTTTTCTTTTTGTTTGTCAGGTTAAATCTTGAGATGAATAAAAGGGATATTTGTTTTTGCCTTCTCTTCATTGAGGAATGAATATCCCAAAGGGGCTTTTTTCAAAAGGCAACTGGATTTTCTTGGGTCATTTCTTTTTCCTTTGATACCGATTCGCTTGTCATCCAAGACGCTTCTTCAGTTCTGACTGACTGGTGGGGAATGGAAGGATTCATATTCTTTGCAGTCATCTGGTCACTAGCACTTGAGGATTGGCTGTTGACTCTCCAGAGTCATTGAGGCCCCTTGGGGGTTTATCTGTACCCTCAGTCAACTGAATTAAAGTACAAATGGGCATGGAACATTCTTGGGACCGCTGAAAGGACTGGATTGTAAATAGGAGGAGATATGTAGTGTTGTATCCCTTCTTCTCTGTTGAGAGAGGACTGTTCAGTTTTGCAATAGACGGCTATTTTTTTTACTCCCGTTTCAAACTAAAGGAAGAGTGCTAATGATCAAATGACTGCAAAGAATATAAACCCCTCCCATTCCCCACCAGTTAGAACTAAAGAAGCTTCTTGGATAAGAAATTAAGTTTTTAAAGGAAAAAAAACCCCAAGAAAGTCCAGTTCAGTGGTGGCATTCTACCAGTTCGGCTTGGTTCGGTAGCTCTGATGATCAGCTGTGAGTGAACCTGTTCGTTCACTCTGACGATCAGCTGCTGGGCCCTCCCACCCACCCTGGCTCTATTCTGACCTTTATTTCCTGCTTTTCAACCTCAGCTGCGTCGCGCGGCACAGCCGATTGCCACGTGTCAGCTGTTGAAGACACAGGGAGAGTGCAGGATTGCAGGAGAAGGTTAGTAGGAAAATCTATCCCAAAGTTAACACTATGTGGATGAACTGTACCATAGTAGTTGTTGGTACTGAGAGAACATGAGCTGAGAATGACCTTCTCTCTATTTAACAGCTTCTGGGAAACTTCCAGTCTAGCAAATATTGCCTCCAGAATCAACTAAGGAAGAAAAGTGCCATAACTGTGTTCACGGAGACATTTTACCCCTGTACTAATGGGATATTTCTTCTTTAATTGAATCTCTGCTTTTATTGACTCGCCATTCTATATGCACAATTGTTGATGCTTTTGGTTTTGTGAAACCCTTAGCTGATTTTATAGGACCCTTGTTTTGTTTTTAAATAAAATAATGTCCTTCCACCAAATGAACAGTTCTCCAAATTACTTATTTAAAATTCTTTTCTCCAAAGCTCTTTTGAAGTTGGAGCTTAATGGAAAAGAAACACAGACTTACCCCCTTGGTTACTGCGCTGTGCAGTTATTTATTCCTTTTATTGAAGTGAGGACGGGCTTTATGTTTCTTTGCCTTTCCCAGACCCACTTTTCAATCCCATGCCTGTTTTCAGAAAGGGGGTTGCTCCTAGGCAGCTGGCACAGAAAAGGACGAAAGTCTTTCCCAAACTGAAAAGACTGTTTGGATTGCAGCTAATTCTCGGTCTCCTTTTGTGTCCAGTACACAGAGAGGAAAGAGGGTGGGGAGCGCAAGTTCTAATTGAATCAAGAGGAAGGCCCATCAGCCCCTGCACCTGGTGAAAAAGAGCTGGGCATGCTTTAATTACGATCTATTGTTGACAAGCCTTTGGTGGGTGTGAAACTGCTGAAATGAGAAGCTATTCAAATGGAGGTCAGTCCTAGAGACCTCACAGCAGAATGATTAACAAGGCAGTATGCTTTCAGGGCCAGCCAGCCAGAAAGAATAGGAAATTGGCAACAGAGGCTGTGAGAAAAGCAAAGTGAATGCAGAGAAAACTGAATTGGAATACTGGATCCCTATACATTGGATTCTTTTAAAAAAATCATTTATGAGAAAGCATGTTTCTCACAAAAGGATGTTCTTTTAGAAGAAGCAGTAAACTCTCTTTCTCCTTTTATACAAAATGCAATGCAAAGGTCAACTAACTTTTTTTTTTTTTAAAAAAAAGGGTGCTGGAGAAATCTCACCCCACCATAAATTCCCCCAAAGTCCTTTCAGTTCATCTCACATACAGCAGGACGATCATGTGCCGATTCCCAATCCTTCAGAGATTGATTTCTCTTTGCAAAAAAGAGAAATGGAGGGAAACAAGGAGCTTACTCTGGAATAAAGAGCAAACTGACTCCATGCAAAACATAAACATAGAAATGGCATTGTTATCATAATTGGTGCAGCTCAATCTCTGGACTTCAAATGCTTTGCCATCTACCTCTGGATCCCATTTTTCTCTCCTGATTGCTTTATTGCCTTCATTACCCAGGCCCCACTCTTTTGATTTCAGTAGTGGGTGGGTGGGAGGGAAGAGGAGCTTTTTGTAGCCACATTTATATTACCAACTGAGCTATGCCCTAAAGCCCAGGAACACCCCTGCTGTGACTCAACACCCGTAAAACCATAATGACTGTATTTGTATTTATTTGTACATTCTCATCCTTACTTCTAGTTGTCTATGAAGATTCTCATTCATGTAGGTTGTGGTTGTCTCAAAGGTCCTTTTATTTTAAAGACTGCTAGACTTTCTGATTATTTTTTAAAGATATTTCGCTTCTCATCTAAGAAGCTTTTTCAGTTCTGAAGAAGCTGAACTGAAGAAGCTTTTTGGATGAGAAGAGAAACATCTTAAAGAAAAATCAGAAAGCCCAGTTGCTTTTAAAATAAAAGCACCTCTGGGCTTATTTCTAGTTATTGATTTTTATTGGATTTATTAAGACCGCCCAATTCCAAGAAACCTCTGGAGGCGGGATGTAAAATAAGTTTTTTCTTGCGGTTTCTGAACACCAGACGAAGTAAAGGCCTAACTTTAGTTGAAGAGAAACAGGTAGCAGAAGCACAATTTGTAGGAGTTTTCTTTGAAAGAAAACAGTTGATCTAGTCAACTAGAGTAAATTACTACTGTTTTTCTACAAATACGTCAGATGACAGTTTTATGCTACAGGAACAAAAGGCAGTGTCTTTGAGGAAGGTTTCCTAAAGGTTGGCCTTTGTGAGCCTCTTTGAATTCTGGGCTCACAAACTGGGAAATTGATTGCAATCTTTCTTTTGTCATCCTCTCCCTAGGAATCTGGATCATAACGAGATTTCAGGGACAATAGAAGACACCAGTGGAGCATTTACGGGCCTGGAAAACCTAAGCATGCTGTGAGTATCGGATAAGTTTTGCTTCTAGAAAACAAAAGTTGTTTTTTCCAAACAACTTCCTATATCTCTGTGTATATTAGGAGTGGGATGGGAGAAAGTGGAACATCTGTTGAATTTCTATCATGTGCAGGTCAAATATTTTTTATTGCTAACTAACTACATGCCTTAGAAACTCACTTGGCCATAATTCAAACTTTGACTATACTTTTTTTTCCTTAGTTTGTATATCTAAAGAGGGTTTTTTTTTTTCAAGAATAAAAGAGAGGCACCTTATTTTATGAACCTCAAATGATAAATTTGTTTTGCTCTCTATTCTTGATAAATTGCTTACTTTGTGCCTTCCAATGACAGTGAGGCATACATTTGATTTTTCTTTGCATTGTGTTCAGATGGTGGTCTTTTAAACAGAAAATGCAGTCAGCTTTTGCCTCCCATCCTTCCGAGGTCGGTAGAAGGAGGACCCAAATTGTTGGGGGCAATATGCTGACTCTGTAAAGAGAGCGAAAGCTGGAAGATGTTGTCAGTTAAGAGAAACCATTCTACAAACATAGTAAAACCACACAATAAAAATTAAAAACAATGATATTCTTTTACACCCTTTTTAATGCAGAAAGATATGAATTCGTAGCATCAATGAAGTAAAGATTTTGTTCTGTAAAAGAGATAATGATTTCCACTATAGCATAGTGATTTAATTCAATTTTAAGCCCCAAAACTATGAGCCATAGTTGTCCAGGAAAACACTAAAAAGTAATTTGAAATAAATATCTAACCTTGGAAAATTGACAAAAACATGGAAGAGGAATTTCTGTTTTCAAATCCACCGAGTGTCCAAATGTGTGAGTGATGATTACTCATACTTTAATTGAAAAGCTGTAGAGGATTCCTGCTTCCCTTAATCCTTTGATATGTCTGCAGGAGACCATTACATGGCATACTGTGAAATTGACTAAAAGCTTAGCTTTGTTCAGATATTAGGCCTCACATGATTACAGATGCGTGAAGGAGAGTGTGGTTCTCACTTGATGCCCCCACGTTTAGCATTATGTCTGTTTAAGGCACCATGCCCTGTAATTGGCATACTAGATAGCTAACTAGGAAAGGGCCACTCCCAACAAAAATCAGAACTTAGTAACTTAGTGTGATCGGGTTCCTTAATTCTGTGTGTGTGGCTTCTGCAGAGGGACAGAGAGCAGATTTCTCCTTTCAAGAACTTGCCTTCCAGAGTGAAGTTGGTGGGTGAGCTGTAGAATTGGCAAAAAAACAACATCAGCAGGAACGAGCTAGTGACTATGGTTTTACATACTCTCACACACATGTGCTTCGTTGGAGCAGAGGAGAGAAAGTCATTCATACTTAAGTGTAGACAGTAATGTGGGCAAAGTCAGGTAAGGGAAAAAGGAGGAATGTGCTTCTCCTTGTTCTCTGACCTTGGTTGTTTTCTTGCAGACATTTCATTACCAAACTAGGTAACATCATCAGTGCTAGTAGGGATGGAATGAATGTCTTTTATCTGGGATTCTATTAAGTTTCTAAAAGAAGTAGATAGGTACTCTGCAGTAAAAGCTCTGCACCTGTAGATTGGCTCCATGGACAATTGGCTCCTGGACAGCTGGCTGTATCTGGGAAATTGATAGTCTACCCTCTCTTGAATAGACTAACGTATCTCTTGACTTGTCCTTATAGAACAGCTTTCACCTATTCTGGAATCTTCCTGTATGATAGTGCTTGTCTTATGCCATCTGTTTTTTCCAGTATGTACTTCAAAAAAAACCCTATACATCAACCAGTTTTTTGGGTGGTCGTTTTTAATATAAACGAATAACATCTTTTGTTTGAAAAATAATCAAAATAAACTTATATATGCTGGGTACTGTATTTAAACTGTCAGAGTGAAGCATTTTACTCTATTAACATAAAAGACACATAGGTAGAGGAAGGAGGGAGAGAGAGAGACACTTAAGAGGAAATCTCCACATGAATTAATAATTACTCCAGTGTTTTGGAGACAGTTTTAAGAGCTGTTCCTCTTTTGATCTGTGTGGACAAGCTACTGAAAGGAGATTGCAGTGAGTGCTCAAGCACCTTGTTCATCATAGTGGAGGTGTTAACAGGAGAGAAAGGGACAAGCAAAGACGTCAGCCTTCTCTGAATTATAGATACCATTTTCCACTGAGGAGAGGAGGAGAGAGCAAGCTTAAATTAAAACATTGCCTCAGAAGAGCAAACATTACACTGAGAAAAACTGATGTCTAGAAATAGTCCTAATTTTTTAGACCTTGTACTTCTTTGCAATTTTGAGAAGGGAAAAGGTGTCCATGGGGCTGATTTTAGTTCCATTCTTTTTGGGTCAAAAAAATAAAATAAACATGGCCTTGTCAGGAAGCTTTGGATGTTTTTCTTCATAACATCCCTGCAATTAGTTAAAAAAGGACAGAGATGCCATGTATTCTATGCTCTGTGCACCTTTTATATACTTTTATTTCATCCACTTTATACGCTGATCAATTTAAAAAGAAAAAAAACCTAACTAAGCAGCTTACCAATAATAGTGAAATAAAAGTAAAAGTGTATCAAGGAAAACATTTTTTTTAATGGAAAGGCAACAGAGAAGATGCTAATGAGTAGCCAAGAAGTAAACCCAAGTGTGGGTTTGGGAAAACAAACCAGGTATATGGAAAATAATTATCTGAAAGCAATGCAATGTATTTTTACCAATACAAAATAGAAGAAAAAACCCCAAAAAGTACAGTAAGAAAGAATGAAAAGAAATCGAATCTTCTGTTTTCCTCTAGAGAAAATTTATGTATGATTACAAAATTACCTCTGTGATTTTAAAAAGCTCACTTTTTCCCATCTATTTTTTTCTAATAATCAAAACCACAAGTCATATGTTCGTATTTTTCCATGTTTCTTGCAAAACAATCTATATAAAAATCAGCCATTCATGTAGTTATTACCTTTTCTGTGATCAAGCTAGCTATCTCTGTACTCCATCATCAAGTATTTCTCCATTGTGATTAGTGTTGAACAGTGGCAGTATTCAAATAAAGTTGCCACCGGTTCGGTGGGCATGGCTTGGTGGCTGTGCTTTGCGTGCATGTACACTTTGCGTGCACGCGTGCGCCAAACACGCACTTTGCGCAGGCACAGAGGCGTTCTAACTTGCCTCCTGCAAGCCTGCATGATGCTGGTCGCTGCAGCAGCTGCCGCGCAGCGCTATTCTGCGCCGTGCAAAGCAGCTGCGCTTTGAATTCTGGCCATAAAAGTGAGTATGGAAGCCCGGGTGGGCAGATGGGCCAAACACAGAGCAGCGAAGAGAACCGGTTCGGTCTCCACTGCTCATCGCCGCTACCGGCTCTCCAGAACCGGGCAGAACTGGTCGAATACCACCACTGGTGTTGAACCTTTTCCCCATCTTTTAAGTTTGAGGTAGCCTTTAATTAACTGCTGGTTGTGTTTGGCTGTTTGCAGCTAAACTATGTGGGGATAGTGTGTCGATCCTCTTTTCCATCCATAATGGAAAAACCTCCTCTGAAAGACCTCCTGGAAATGCTCAAACAAATGCTGAAACTCAAAAATTTGTCAGAAATTTGGCTTTCTCAGATAGATTCAATCCCCAGAGTTTTATTGAGGAAAAACCAAGGCAATTAAATCAATTTTTAAAATTTGAAGTGCAGACATGACCTAATTATATATCTCAATGGTGGAACACAAAGAATAGTCTAAACCTGATCTATAAAAACCGGTCAGAGGCCCCAAGCATCTTTGTGAAGTCTTCAAATATTCAAATCCTGAATAACTTACTTTCTTCTCACTACTGCATTTTTTTGGAGAATATTTTTTTTTTGTTTTACTTTCTTGAGACACACATTCATGTGTGTAAGAATTTAAAATTAGATTACATATGATGCATCTGTCACAGAAAACAGATTGTATAAACTTGTTTTGTAATTTCTTTTTTACCTGATTGCTGCTGCTTCTTGATTATATTGAAAAGCAACATTCAGCTAAGCAAATCTGATTTACTTGGGATAGCTTGCTTCTTCAGTTAGGCTCCATTCTTTTATATCATTAGTCATTCTCAACTATTGGGAATTGCCGAAGAAAGCATATGGTATCTTCTTGCTAAAAATAGCCACCCATCAAAGCTATTGATATAAAGCACTGAAATAATGTTTTGCTTTTCTTACAGATTACATGCCAAATGTTTCCATCCCTCAATATACAGATAGTCCTCGACTTACGACCTCAATTGGGCCCAGACTTTCCCTTGTTAAGTGAAACATTTGTTAAATGAATTTTGCTCTGTTTTACGACCTTTCATACTCCAGTTGTTAATCATGGCCGTTATTAAGCTTGCAACATGGTTGTTAAGTAGACCTGGTTTTCCCATTGACTTTGCTTGTCAGAAGGTGATCATATGACCCCAGGACACTGCAATTGTTATAAATGTGAGTCAGTTGCCACGGGTCTGAATTTTGATCACGTGACCATGAGAATGCTGCAACAGTCGCAAGTGTGTAACATGGTCATAAGTTATTTTTTTCAGTACCATTGTAATTTTGAATGGTCCTCTAAACAAACTATTGTAAGTCGAGGACCAGAGGTGGTATTCAGCAGGTTCTGACCAGTTCTGGAGAACCGGTAGCGGAAATTTTGAATAGTTCAGAGAACCAGAAAATACCACCCCTGACTGGAGATTTTACAGTATCCCTCTCCTGCCACGCCCAACAAGCCACGGCCACAGAATCGGTAGTAAAAAAAATTTGAATCCCACTATTGTCGAGGACTACCTGTAGTATAAATCTAGTCTCACACTCATGATAGGTATTTGAAAGTAGCATTCCCATTTTGTACATATATTGTCTAGATAAGCCTATCTTGTTTCAAGTAAAGATTATCTTATGTTAAGCTTGATGTCTGGTGACTACAAGGATCTGTTGTTTTCCTCAGTCTATCCTACAAGTCTCCGGTACAAATACTAACCAGACTCAATCCTACTTAACTTTTTTTTAAAAAAAGTTTTAAACTCCAGCCCGCAGGCCGGATGGGTCATATGCTGGCCACACCCATGCCCAGTTTAGCAGAGGGGAAAAATCCCGATACATTATGTAATGCTGCCATGACAACATGAGTTTGACACCCCTGTGCTAAAGGCTATTATTTGTAGACTTTGCACTGAGTAACTTTTCCTAAAATTTTCTTGGTTCTCATAGAAACATAACTACTCCTAAGAAATGTATGCATTGATATTAGGTTAATCTCACAGTAGCAGGATCTTGAATATAGCTTTTTCCTCATAAAGATTTCACATTTAGACACATAGTTTCCTAATTTTAGAATTTGGTCAAGATATTTATCTATTTATTTTTAAAATGCCTTTATAATATTTTAATGCTTTTCATTCTTTTTTAAAATTTGTCAAGAAAAGTGCAGAATATGCATAACCTAGATTTCTTTATGACAGAGCTAGCCAAATAGACATCAAAGAGTACAGTTTGATGGAAGGCCTTTCTCAAAATCTATGGACAATCATGCCACATTGAATATAGATTTGCAAGTTGAACAGTTTCTCTGACCTTCTTCCTATGTTCTAATTGTATTTGATTCATGTCTTTATTCAGGGGAGAGAGTTACAGAAGTATTAACAAAAACCTGAAATTAAAGATGCATTCCAAAAGTCCCCATACCGTATCCTCCTGAATTAATTTGTGACAGAAGTTTAATCTCTCCTGTCATCAGGATTCAGGATGGGCTATACTGCATTTTTAAAAAAGAAGAAAGGAAAATGTTAGAAATCAGATAAGTAACAGAATAATACTATCAATATTATCCCAAACCAAGCTCTGCAGGGCTAATTTAGCTCCAGCTATGGGGCGCCAGCAGAATTAGGAAAGTGTTCAAACATTTCTTGGATTGTAGGAATCAAGTATCTATCAGATTTGATTTCAGGACCAGAATATTGGAATATTGCCCTACGGCAATTTCTCTGTAAGGAAGGCAGAGCCAAAGGGTATGCTAAAATTGACTTGCATTGCCTTTGTTTTAAAAGTACGCTACTTAATATGTACTGCAAAGTGTAAGGAACTTATTGAAAATAGTACTAATTATTACCTATTGTTATAAACTAAAGGAAACTGGAAGAATAAAAAATAGAAGGTGCAAAAAAGAAAGGAACAGAACAGAAAGAGAAAATAATATAGTAAAGAAAAAGAAAAGAAATATATAAGAAAACAATTTGCTGCTTCATTACAAAAAGTATAAGCATTTTAGTCACAATACCACTTACTCTTATGCAACAAACTTCTTTCCATATCTCATCTTTTATTGGTAAACTAATCCATAAAACATCATTTCAGTCCTAATTAAGTCCATTAAGTCCATCTTTTTGCTTGTTTGTCCCCCCCACCCCCCAAAATCTGTTTAAGTTCCTACACTTGTCAATTCAAAAGTTCCTAATAGCTAAAATATAATTAAGATACAATTTCCAAAAGTGATTAAAAAATAAATATCTGAACATGGTATCCCCTCAAAGGCGCTAACCAGTTTGAGCAAAAAGATGACTATTCTTTCATCTGTCAAAGCTCTAAGCTCACTATTTTGCAGCCCCCTTGTGAGTAGCAACTGTCTAGAGCACTTGTGGCCGATCTCAAGCCATCTCCTTATCCAGAGAGGAATTTCAAAGAGCTAGTCTCCTTGGTGGCTGTTCATTCTGCTGTGGTTGTTCACTCTGCTTTTTGTGGAGCCATCTTAAGTCTTCCATTTCTTTCCCAGAAGTTGCAAAGAGTAAGTTAGAGGACAACAAAGCTAAAGCCACATGTTATAGTGTGCCATACGAAGACTTTTAGTCACCTTGGCTATCAGAAGGAAACTGCCATATTTTTTTTTGCTAAGAAAAACAATCATCTTAAAAAAAACCTAATTCCCCATCCTGGTTTGCTTATAGGTTCTGTTGGTAAGCAACTTCATAGACATTCACTGGAAAAAATATATTTCAGTGTACTTTGAGTCCATGATCAGATTAATGTTATTTTTGTATAATTAGAAGAGAATTTCTAAATTCTATATGAAATGTTTGGAATAAAAAGACCTTGAAATGCTTTTGTCAGGCTTTTGCTAGCAAGCTAGAAGAGAATCTATGAGGTAAAGTAGCACTAGAAAATAAAATTTTGACGTTTTTCCTTTAATAAATCTCTGAGGGAGAAAGAGAGTTCTGCCCAAGACAAAGGTATTTTGTCCCTGAACTTTGAAAACCATTGACTAAACTTGCTATGGTGGGGGTAACATGTTCTTCCAAAAATTCTCTATCCTCTCCTCAAACATAGCATGAAAACTCCCAAATCAAATGTCTTTATTATAGTCTTTTCAACAAACGAATACAGTAAAAAGGGAAGTGATTTAACATAGCAATTTATTGTTGGAAAAAATAATAGGACAATAAAACAACAAAAGTTTTGCACAGTTGAATAATTTGAAGATCTTTGGCCTTCTGATATGTGAGTGTGGGATTATTAGCATCCCTTAAAATAATAAATATAAAATTTATCTGTATGGCCCTCGTATTTGGAAATGATTGGGCCATCAGAGCATATCTTGGGGCATCATAGAAAAGTTAAGAGTGTCTACCTGTCTGGATCCATGCTGGCAAAGTTTCTATAAATGAGGAATCCTACAAAATCTTCCTGCCAGTAGAGCTGATAGGAAGGCATCAAAGTAGGATCTGGAGAAGGTCCATCTATAGCAGGTCTGTCAAACTGATGGCCCGCGGACCAGATGCATCACATATTGGCCACGCTGATGCCTGGTTTAGTAAAGGGCGGAGTCCCAATACGTCATGAGACGCCGCTGTGACGACTTGAGTTTGACACTCCTGATCTATAGTTTGAAACTTGAAAAAAGTTTGGAACGTTGTGGTCTGTTTTGAAAACCGCTTATGACCAACTGTGAAAAGATCATGGGTCAACTGTCCGGTGGTGAATCCAGTGTCTTGTTTCAATGGTATTTGGGCTGATAAGCCAAAGTCAGCTCACATCCTGAGTGGCCTTCCCCCCCTGTACAGAGAAACTTGTATTTCTTAACCCAACACAGAGTGTCCTGGATAAAGCTATCATCACTATTAAGCTCTAATAAAGATAAAGGTATTTAATTTCAGGGAAAGGGAGAGAATATGCTTCCTTAATCTTGGCAGATTGTATTTCCAGCGCCTTATATGGAAATGGTTCATCAGATAGATGCTCACTAATTGGGGTCTTTTTCTTCCCCTCTTTCTCTCCCTCCCCTTCCCTCCTCCTCCTCCTCCTCTGGCTGCTGCTTATCTGGCTTGCTGGGTGTTTGGCAACTGCAGGACTCTGTTTGGAAACAAGATCAAGTCTGTGGCCAAGGAGGCGTTCTCCGGCTTGGAGGCCCTGGAACACCTGTGAGTAACCCACAAGGCTTTGCAGGTTGGGAGAGGAGGGAGGGGCTGGGTGGGCTTGCCAGGAATGGCTGCTGCAACGGCCTGCAAGCAATTTAATAGCATCTTTGTAAGCTGAGAAGCTCCCTTCCTGAGAGCCAGCTGCTTCCTTCTCATTATAAGTCAGTTCCAACTTTGGCTCTGCTTCTTTCTTTCTTTTTTTTAACCCCTGCTAGGAAGAAATTTGTAGAACACATGACCGGTTACATGGTGTGTGTGTGTGTGTGTGTGTGTGTGTGTGTGTGTGTGTTTTAAATCTATATTGGAACAGCTCTTTTTTATTCACAAAAATCTAAACCTTCCTGAGAAATTATTATCCTGTCCCCAAAATTTGAAGGCGCATCAAATTTGGCACTGAGCATATCTACAAAAAAGTTGGGGTCAAAATATCTCACGTTATCTTTGCTAACAGGGTGGAAAAAAAACAACCCTTGCAACTTTAATGGCTCTTCTATGCCATTGCCTGAATATATTTACAATAAATTAGGCTAGAGTGGCAGGAAAGCTAGCTGAATATCAGAGGATTTACATCTCCTGTCTCCTTGAATATTCCCACTCATGGAGATGGCAACTTTGATCAAGATCAGTTCTACTCCCATAGTCCTCGCTTTGACTCCCTCTGCTGGCATTAAGGACAGCATTTGGTGGAAAATAAGTGTATGATATTAAGAGTCCTAAAGACCCCTGGGGTTATTCTGTTTGAGGGTTGTTTGCATTGCTCGTTTTTTGTACTTGCTAATTTTTAAAACACTCTCAAAATCCAAAGAGGAAGAATACCACTGTAAAAGATACTTTTTTATCTAACTTTACTACTTTTTACCTAACTTTTTTTGAACAGAGAGGGCAGGCTGGACAGTGAATTAGAGAGTTGGCATTGAAACCCCTTTACCCCCCCCCCACCCTCACCCCATCCTGCCACTCTCTTACTTTGTCGGTGCAAAAATCTCCCCTGGGCATGGATAATCCTTCTGCAAGGATTGGATCCTGTTTTAAAATGTCTGCTGTTTTTACACATCCTTGCTGTTTTTACTCATGTGCAAATGTCTACTTTACTTGGGGACCAGCCAATTAAAGACATTTTAATTGCAATGTGTGTTTCTATGAAGTAGATTTTGGAGTTGGTTTTTGCTGTTTTTCCCCCGGCGTAGTTGGCTGAAGTTCTGAAATTCTCTTCTCTCTGTTCTTTCTATCTTGCCCAAATCTTATTGCAAAGGAGGAGTGGGATTCCTTTGGAAAAGGGTTGGGTAGATGGAGGAGGGGGTCAAAGTTTAAAATACTACGTGTTCTTTGCTTCAAGTTCAGTTTTTCACCAATTGGCCAGATGAAAAGCTAAAAACGGTGGTATTTAAAATGCTGGCAAATTTACCAAGCAATTGGAACTGAGTTATGTGTGCAGATATCCTATTTTTTTAAAAATCCACCTTAAGCTACTAAAATAATTAATAACAACAACAACAACAATAATAATAATAATAATAATAATAATAATAATAATAATGGGTATACTACTACTCATGGGCCAGTTCATATATAACATTAAACCAAAACAATAAGCTGCAGCAAATTCCATTTTAGTTTTGCCCTGAAAAACTTATCTCCAAGGCATAATATGAAGTTAACCTGTATCTTATAAGAGCCGTAGTGGCTCAGTGGTTTGAATGCAGTACTGCAGGTTATTTCTGCTGACTGCTGGCTGCCAGCAGTTCAGTGGTTCGATTCTCACCAGTCTCAAGATTGACTCATCCTTCTGAGATCGATAAAATGAGAACCCAGTTTGTTGGGGGAAATAGGCTGACTCTGTAAACCACTTAGAGATGGCTGTAAAGCACTGTAAAGTGGTATATAAGTCTAAGTGCTATTGCTATCTTAACTGGCTAGCAAAAAAATACAGGTAGTCCATGCTTAACAATCACAATAGGAACTATAATGTGGTTGTTAGTGAGATATTATATAACCTCAACAGAGTTATGACATCACTTCCACCACAGTCCTTAAGCAATCTCCTGTGGTCATTAAACAAGACATAATGTGATTGTGATTTTTCTGCCAGCTTCTCCACTGACTCTGCTATTCATAAATTGGCTGTGAAGTGCATAAATGTGATCATGTGACCACAGTTATAAAGGTTGCAAAACCCCCAAATCTCAATCCCGTGACCATGGGATGCTGCAATGATTGTAAATGCAAGAACCAGTGGTAAAGTTACTTTTTCAGTGCCATTGTAATTTTGACAGCGCAATCTTTAAGGGAGGGCTACCTATATAATAAGATAAATAAAAACGGCTTTTTTAATTAATCACCATTAGGATTCAGTAAAACAAAAAAATAATAGAAATTGGATGGGAAGGGAAAGTGGACAGGTGAGAGGTTCACTATGTCATGTCCTGATAAAGTTAGTATGATGTGTAAATGCATTCGAGCCCTAATTCTGCACCTCCTCTATTTACTAGGATCAGAGATACTATGAGTAAGTGGAAAATCATAAAGTGCCGTATTAAAAGAAACTACACCGACAGAGTTGCTCTTCTATATACGTCTATAAATTAAAATAAATGCTTACTTTCTATAGGAACCTTGGGAATAACGCCATACGGTCTATTCAAGAGGATGCCTTTGCAAAGCTGAAAAACCTGAAAGAACTGTAAGGAATGAATCCTAATAAATGTTTGCTGTATATTTTGGTCCGTTTTTGTGACATTTCCTCCGGCAACTCCTCCCTCCAATAGCTCTTTTCCATATTATCAATAATTCCATTGTTCCCCGCACTCTTCTTCTTACAAGCTATTTTTGCAAGAGAGCAGATGTCAGATAGTAAAATTCCATAACTAGTGAAATTAGATCTTCCTTGTGGTTGATTTCATTGGGCTGCAGCTCTGCCTTTTTCCATTGTACTCAGGAAGTCCAAACTCCCGTCCTCTAGTCATGTAGATCATATAGTGAAATACCTGCCCTTCTCATTCCCCCCCTTTTATATCTGTATGATGAAATTTCAGTAGTAAGCTGTCTTTGAATTTGATCCTTGAACCCATTTAAGAAGGGGAGAATTACAAATGGTATCAGCAGAAGAGAAGATTTGTAACTCGGCAATGAACTTGGGTTCTTGGTGCTCTCTGAAATTAGTTGTCTTCTTATGGACGTTTCATTACCCAACTGGTAATGCACTGATGATGTTACCTAGTTGGATAATGAGATGTCTGCAACGAAACAGTGAAGCTCAGAATTATAAATGGGTTAGTAGATTTGTCACTTCAGCTATGTCAACAAAATCTTGTTTGTCACATTCGCTTTTGTGATATACTGTATATTCTGTACTTTCCCTCTCTTTAAAATAGTGTGTGGCCTATACAGATGTCCAGAAGCTAAAGTTACAAGTTTATTGTTGAAGGGGGGGGAAAGGGGGGGAGACCTCTATATGGCTCTGTCCAAAATCAACCACAAATCACTTAAACTTTATTTTATTTAAACATAGGGTTTATTCATGTGGCAAACCCATGGTTATGAAATAACATATTTGTAGATTGAAAGGGCGTATTCATTTTCACTTCAGGTATTGGGACAGTCATTTAGAAATATACAAAGTAATTTGGATGATCTACCTCAAAAGGAATTGATGACCTAAGTTTTAAGTATAAATCAAAGGGGTTTTTAAGTATAAATCTAGACTAAACTAGGTTTTAAGTATAAATCAAAAGCTTAAAGAAGAATACGTTTAGTAATGACTGAATTAGGGAATTTCTCAAAAGCTAATTGTCATGCTAATACATATCAGCTGCTATGCAGCAAAAGTCAAAATTATATGTCACAATACACAATACTTTATGCTGTGCTTGAGAGCTTCCCAAATAATTCTGATAGCTGTTGTGGAAAGGAAAATGCTGGATTAAATATATATGTGGTTATCGCTAAACTAGTTTTCTTATATTCTGAATTTCAAACATGTTTTGGGTAATTTTTCCATCTTTAAATTTTGAACTTCTCCCTTTTAGAAGTGTTATTACTTGCCTATTAGATTGGGGTTATCCAGATGTAATCTACTGCAGAATATACACTTAAACACTGTTTTAAAGAATGAAATTAGCACCCGTAGGATGTGACCATGGTCTGCTTAAATTGTGCCCTATATCTTTATAGGGTCCTTTTCCAAGTAAAATTAAAATTCCTTCCCCTCCATTTACAGACAATAGCCTTGTATGAATCTGTTTGGATTCAGATGGTTAAAGGAATCAGTTTGGAAAGCTGTATGATGGAGCAAGGCCTTCTTTGTGCATTCTATGGTTCTTAAAAATCTATTCCTATTCCTATTCTTATTCTTATTCCTATTCTTATTCCTATTCCTATTTCTATTTCCATTCCTATTCCCATTCCCGTTCCGTTCCGTTCCGTTCTGTTCTGTTCTGTTCTATTCTATGTGTTGGACTGACGTGGAGGCACAGTATTGAATAATTCGATCCAAGGCTGACATTCGTACAAGAACTAATGCAGATCGTCTTCACACACTTGTCTTATGAATGTTTTTAATACTTCTGTTGCAAGTTTTGTGAAAACATTTTATTCTTTTTGTTGTTTTCTTTGCTTTCTCCTAGCCGTATCAACAGCGAGAGCTTCCTCTGTGATTGTCAGCTCAAGTGGTTGCCACTTTGGTTAACCAAGAAAAAACAACAGCTGTTTGTGGAAGCCACCTGTGCCCATCCAGAATCATTAAAGGGCAAAAATATTCTTGAAGTGGTCCCAGAAAGTTTTGTATGTGGTGAGTCTTAGCTGCTGCATGGTAATTTTGAGGTTGCTTTGGAGGGTAGCCCTGACACAGGAATGACTATGTATTTTGTGGTCAGCTTATTATTTCATGTGCAGTGGAGTGTAGCATCTCCTTTTGTGGTCTGCCTTCACCATCGACAAGAACTGTAAATCATATTCACAACATCGATCGGGGGCAGTGATCCCAAATGAGCTTGGAGACTCATTTGGTGGTCATGGAAATTTGATGATAGAAGGGGTTAGAGTTTGGATGAGAAAGCAATAACCCTTTCTGAATAGCATATCCTGCTTTGATTCATTTTAATTTGGGCTCCAGCTTGGTTGATTTTTCTTGATTTATTTGACTTTTCCAGCTGCTGATTTTTCTGATTTATTTGACTTTTCTTCCAGCACAAAACAAAAATGGTTTCATTTGCTCTTATTAAAGGAAGGCTCTTCCCAGCTTTTGTTATTTGTGCATTCCTTTAGTTTGTTTTATGCTACTTTGAGTACTCAAAACATGGCTAACTCCTCTCAATGGGCAAGTAGGAATTATCACATCAGTACAGGAAATCTGAAAAAGGAAGCTGACTTCATAAAATGTGCTTTGGTACCAGTACTTGAGAGCCAATAGCAGAGAAAATGAAATCTTTACAAGCATAGGTGAATAATTTGCGTCTTATTTTGTGGGCAGCTCAGATCTAGTCATGAGGCAGACTTATCTGATACCCATTCAGTAGCCTACTTTGGATTTTGAGGGTAAAGTTTCTTGCATCAGCTCTAAATTGGACACCACAATTAATGCAGGTGTTCTTGGGGTGATGGAGTTTCAACTTGTCAGAGTGTATGGGACTGGTTTCAATTAGCGTGACTGAGGAAGTGTGCGAAATCTGTAGAGTTTGGATTGTTACGATTTTTAAGAACCAGCAGTGAAGGTCTTAAGTGGGTGGATCTAGGAATCTCCTAGGGCAAAAGCAAAATTTTAAAGACTTTTTAGTTTTACATGGAGAATAATAGAATCGGAGAGGTCTTTTCTTTTTTGTATAGACTTCTAACCTTCCCAAGGTACATTCATGAGGTAAAGCCTAGGCATGAAATTAGATAGAATATTGAAGCATTAGAAGTTAGACACAATTAATCATCCCGATTAAAGTATCCCAATTGAATTGAAAATTATCTTCCTTGTTTTGCAAGAATGCAATGTTGTTCTATCACCATTTTTTTTTTTGAGGAGGGATACTTTTTATTTTTAAAAAAACAACAAATATTAATAACGAATGCATCTGCCCTATTTGGCATCCCTTGTGTACTGCATGAGGTTTGAGCAATGTTTCTCAGCCTCAGGAACATAACGACGCATGGATTTCAACTCCCAGAATTCCCGAGGCAGCATGCCAAATTAACTGCATTTATGTAACACGTGTCGCCTTCTTCATCTTATTAAAAATGGCAATTTAGCAGCCGCAAATAGACATGGCCGTGGAAAATCTCTCAGTCTAGCAACAACTGCCAGTTGTGGAGTTGTCACATCCCCCAACAATGTACTGCCTCTCTTGGAGAGAGGCGAGGGTTAGGGGCAGGGACTCACTGCTGTTCCTGTCACTCAGAGCAAAGCTACTGGTTGTGGCAGAGCAGCTGAGTCATGTGGTCTTTTCTCTCATGCCTGGAATGTGCTAGAAGATAGCTTGTCTGTCTGCCTGCCCTCTTCAGAGGCACAGATGTTTTGGCTTTGGGGTACTATAAATTTCCCACCCCTCCTCTTGCTGTGCCCGGCTTATCCACTGTACCAATCCTCCCCCCCTCCCCCCCAATATTACAGCCTGTTGCAGTCTCTTCTCCCAGACATTAAGTGGGGGGAGGGGGAGGCTTTATGGCCCATGGACTTCAACTCCCAGAATTCCTGAGCCAGCCATGCTAGATAGATCTGGAAGCCCAAATGTCTAACTGCACCAGGAGTGATTGTTGTCACCTCTTGGGCCAATGCAGAGGCACAGATTTAAACACGAATGCCTGTCTTCTGTGGATGGTCATTCGAGGCTGCCCGTGGCAGGTGCCGTGTTTGAAAAACTCCTGCTTTGTAGCTTATACTAAAGCCTTGATTTTTGACATGCGGGCTTCCCAAGCGAAGGATCCCTTCCCCTACACAGAGCCTCTTGCAGTCTGGAAGCCTGTAATTAAGGAAGGGAAATGCTATATTTTTCCCTTTTGGCTACTTACTGGATTGACATTCTTTGCGGCTTTATATAAGAGATGCATGTGTGTATCTCTTATATACATACCGCGCACACACACACACACACACACACACACACACACACACCATTTTTTTACTGCATATTTTGGAATTAGTGATAAAGTGGTAAGGATTTTAATATCGTAAATTTTTGTAATATGTTTTTTGTTAGGATAGGCTATCTTATTGTAAGTTATCCCACAGTTGTTTCTTAGGACTTATATCCCCTGTTTCAACTTCCTACTGGCGTTTTTCATAAGGTCTATTACCGCTCAATTTAATTTCATGCGAAGGGGAACAGGCAGCAGGAGCCACATCAATGCAAATATTGTAAAGGCAAGTAATCCTCACTTAACAACTGCAATGGTGGCTGGAATTTTACTCCTAAGTCACGGTGGTTGTTAAACATGTCGCCATGTGACCTGATTTGATTTTATGGCCATTTTTACCACCGGTTGTAAAGCAAGTCATTAAGCTAAGCATCCAGTTGTAAACCATGTGGTCATTTAGTGAACCACATGATTGTTGAGCAAACCCATTCTCCCAAATGGGCGGTTTTTGCCAAAAAAACTAGCAAGAAACGGTGGAAACTGGCAAAAAAGTTACATGACATAAATGTGAGCCAGTTGTTTGGTGCCTAAAACACGATCATATTACTGCAGATGTGTGTGGAAGTTGTAATTTCAAGGATGAGTCATAAGTAAGTTAGCAGAATAATAGAGTTGGAAGGGACCTTGGAGGTCTGCTAGTCTAATCCCCAAGCAGGAAACCCTCTAAATCAGTGGCCCCCAACCTTTTTTGTGCCACGGCCCGGTACCGGCATCACAAAATGATCTGTGGCCCGGTACCGGCATCAGCACTCATGACAAGGCAAGGCGGGCCAAGCGACTGGCCAGCCAGCCATCCCCCGCTTCTCCCCGCCGCCTTCAACTCCTTCTTTGTACCTTTTTTGTGCTTTTTTGTGCTTTCTTAATCTCCTCTGCCATCGGGACGGCTCTTCGTTCGAAGCTGCCCCACCACCCTTTGATGAAACAAAGGCGCGAGGATTCCTTCAGGGCCCAAACGCCACTTTCCAACCGGAAAAGCTCACCCAGAAGCACTTTCTCATCGAAACAAGATGGCGGTGCCCAGCAAACCAGCGGCCCGGTAGAAAATGATCCACGGACCGGTACCAGTCCGGGGCCCAGTGGTTGGGGACCCCTGCTCTAAATGATTGTCCAATCTTTTTTTTTTTAGTCTGTTGTAACTTTGATCAGACGTTAAGCAAGGACCAGTTGTAGGTGAGAGGATCAGGTCTGGTTGCTATTTGGATGGGGACAAGTGAGGGATGTTTCAGAACTGAAGGGACAGACAGAGAAACAAACAAACAAACAAACAGCATCCTGAAGGAAGTTAGTAACTATTTTCTGTGCTATTGTTTCCCAGAAACACTGAATGGATGTGTCCGTGGCATCTTGCCTTTTCAGGAAAGTGACATTCTATAAGAAATGCAATGGAGATGGAGAACAGGGATTGAGATAAAGCATGCAGGTGTACTGTATTTTAATTTTCATTGTCGGAGGTTAGCTGAAGTGGGTTGCTTTTCTTATTGGCAGTCAACTGAAGCTTGCTGGCATGTTTGGGATCCCCTTGCATCCTTTTAAAGAGGGAATGGTTTATTTCTTTTCCAGACGATTTTCCCAAACCCAAAATTATCATTGAACCGGAAACTACCATCACTGTCCTGGGCAAAGACATCCGCCTGACCTGCTCTGCAGCCAGTAGTAGCAGCTCTCCGATGACGTTTGCCTGGAAGAAGGACAATGAGATTCTGCACCATGCCGAGATGGAGAACTTTGCCCACGTCCGAGCCAGGGATGGGGTGGTGATAGAGTACACTACCATTCTGCACTTGCGCCGTGTCACTTTTTCCCACGAGGGACGCTACCAGTGCATCATTACCAATCATTTTGGCTCTACCTATTCTCAAAAGGCGCAGCTTATTGTTAATGGTGAGTGAGGAAAATTGTGGCTTGAATATTGTCTGCGTTATAGAAATGAGCTTTTCTTATTTTTATTATTATAATGCTGTGAAGCAGCTTCCTTTACCTCGAAAACGTTCCAGCCAGGTATGTGAACTTTGACTACCAGACTTCTGCAGCTAGGATTTGCTAAGTTTCTGAGAATTCAAGCCCCCACATCTGGAGGATGGAGAAAAAGGACCCAAGCCCCTTTCTCTTTCTAAATGTAAATATTAGAGCAGTGTTTCTTCACCTTTACGCATCTTAAGCTGTCAGGATTGAGAAACAAAGCGTTAAAGCAGAGCAACAACAAGGGAAATGACTCCAAAGTGTTGTGAACACCAATAATAACTCCTTTCTAGTTTATTGCACAAAAGATTAGCTTGCCATTGTGTAAAAACTATTCTCCTGCGTAAGTAGTGAGAATTAAGATGCATCAGTCTTATAAACATTGGCTTGGCTCATTGGGATTTTTCCCATTGCCTTTATGTAAGTGTTAGTCTCCGGCACTTCTTAAATTGACTTAAACTCCTTTGGAGTCATATGTTTTAATTTAATAATGTCATAGGAACTGAATGCTGACCTGTAAGCTGCACTGAATGAAGGGGTTGAGGTCTGTGGTCAAATTGCATCCCTATAAATTTCTCCCTCCC